TCTTTTTGAGATGTTTTGACATCTCGAACCGCTTCTGACTCCAATGTAATAAAGGACTTCGCCGACACACTGCTTGGTCTCCGTCACTCTTTATTCCCGTTGACGCTCGCACTCTGCTGATCCCGACAGCGGACCAGCTGCTCCTCGCGCGCACCCCGCACGCGCTCTCCCATCAGTCACTCAGCTCCCCCGCTCCCGCACACCACTGGCCGACGGTGTGCTTGAAGCTCCTCCAGCCACGTGGCTGGTGGCACGGATCCCCTCCGGCCACCCAACGTGGTCCAGCTTCGTGACTCTACCAACTGACCCGGAGCCCTTCCGGGATCCCACCTATATTCCCTTCACCACGTGATCCTGTCTCCTCCCTCTCACCGCGCCCTTCACCGAACCTTCCAGATCCGGCCTCTGCATAGCGCCTTGCTGGCTCCGCCTTTAGGTTCCGCCCCTGCTCACCCCGCATCCGATTGGACCCGAAGTGAGCGGCGGACCTTCACATACGCCTCCATACTGGGCCCCGCCCCCCAATACCCTGGGCCGTATAATTGGCCCAGAGCCGAGCAGCGAACCCGCTTACTCTCACATTACACAAGTATAATCGTTGTTCGAAGCCAGGTAACAGCAACAATAATTGTTGTCGTTATTGTTGATGATGTTATCTAGCGTTCGATGTTCCGTCGCGAAGCTAATGGGCCCACAACCCAAAACCACATCCGCACACAAGCCATCACAGCAGCAGATACGGATACCTGCTGACGATGCAAAAATGGAGAATAAAAATCTCCCCGGTATGCGACTGCGGTCACCCAGAACAGAACCGTGGAACGCATAACAGCGACTCGGTGCCCAATTCCAAATAATTTGCCACCGCTACTCCTGACGCATTCGTCTGCCTCATCGACCAACTCGACGTAAAATGACGACCTGTTGCGCTGCAGCAACATCGGCCACACGGAGTGCGAGATTGCTGTTACCTGCCACTCGCAGGGGCCTCCGTGGCTACGCTGTGGCCTATCACAGTCTCCGCATCAATAAAAAAAATTGCCTCCTTGTGAACAATTTAAATAAGGAACCAAGGAAATAAATATAAGTTTAACACGTTGTAGGCTTTCGCGACCAATATTATCCAGAATAGAGGTTTTTGGGTTAGATCGTGTAAATATTAACCCCCCCCCCAACCCCCTCTGGCCTTCACCTGATTTGCTCACAAGTGACGACATTATATTTATCCCTTTATTTAAGACCGAAGCAGGAGTATTTCTCCACATCTCTGGCTGTCGCCTGATGAGGCTGGTTGTAATAACCAGCGAAACGTCACGTTACTCGAATTGTCAATGTTGTGGGTTTACTCTCCAACACACCAGTAGGGCTGTACTAGTAACTAATTGGCACGTTTTGTGTACGTGACAAACCTTACTAATTGGCTGTGTCGGGTGGTGGCAGGTTGTTGTATATATTGGGTCTTGAAAAAGTAATAAAAATAATAAAAAATTAATGAAATTTGATAAATGTAATTATGCAAAGTATGCGTTTATGCTAATTTGGAAGGTGTACTGTATGAAGTTATGCAAGCGCATGTAATTATGCTGGTTATGTTTTAGTGTTAATGTCAGGTCTCAAAATTCAGATCTCTGCGCAGGATACAGTTCTTATAATTAAGATTATTATGCATGAACTTAGGAAGGCACCACTCAGAGTCTTCTGTGTTAAGCAACTTTAATCTAAAAAAAAACACTCTAATATGCGAACTCTTATGCTAGGAATGTCAACAAAGTACTCCTGGAGATGTCCTCCTCATTGATCCGTACATTTAACCCTCAATGATTACGTTTGTTAAACTGGGAAAGAGAACTATCGGTTAATTCCTCAGAGTAAAGCGAGCATACACGGCGATTGGAAAAAGTCCTTAAAAATGAATGTAACAATATTCATACGAACAGCAATAAAGAAACACGTCTCGAAAGCAAAGGTAGACCTCAATGAATTCATTGGTAAGATTATGCAATTAACGAAAAGTCTTGGAACAATGGTGTGCAGCAGTGTTCCTGCTTGTCTAGCAAATGCTTATTGTACTCTTTGGTAAATTCAGTAAAGTCACGTAGGTATAAAATAAAATAAAATACTTTACCGAAAGAACCAAAGAGTATGGAACCTCCCATTTCAACGAGTCTACACAACAGAGACTCATTTCTGACAGCGGTTTCAGCCTCACCACCTCTACATAACAAAAGGCTCAGTCCCATTTACACGCACCTTTACATCAGCCTCACCTTAACAACTCTTTTCAACCAGTCTACACAACAAAGGCTCATTCCTAACAGCGTGCTTCAGCCGCACCGAACCTCACAATAATAATATCCAGGGCCTACCTTGGCTCCTCCCACCCTCAACCAGTATATCTACAAGGACTGTTTTCTTGGAATTTCTCTTACTTGATACAGCTATCGTGCCGTGACGGTTCCACCTGAAGACGGAGGCTTGTGTTGCCTCCGAAACGTCGTGATTTTTATTTTATTTTTATTTTACTTTTATTAATTTTATTTTTTTACCTACGTGACTTTACCGAAAAAACCTAAGAATATGAAACCATGTGTTGTGTCAAATTGTTGGGAGACAAAGGCGGTTAGGAGTCTCTGGTCCTATGGAATACCTATTACAGTGATCCCTCGTTTATCGTGGTTAATGGGGACCGGAACCCCTCGCGATAGGTGAAAATCCGCGAAGTAGGATTGGCCCCCTAGGAATTTCCGTATATGTGTGTGTGGGTACCAGAATGTTTAAAATATGTATATTTGTAATGCGAGCAAGGATTGAGGGGGGGTAGAGTCTGGGTCACGTGGAGAGTGGGTGGAGTTAAGGTCACGTGGGAGAGAGGATTTAGGGGGAGAACCGGAAGGGGAATGGGGAGTTGAGACGGAGTGAAACAGGAGAGAGTGGCGCGGTCGCCACGCGGTGGAAGACGTCGACATCATCAGCCATCGGTGTCAGACGCAGAGAGCTAGCGGCTGGGGGAAGGCTAGCTGTATACGGGGCAGCAGTGAAGCTAGAGCTAGCGGAGCAGCGGTGTGGCTGCAAGGTGGAGCAGCAGGGAGACTGCATATCGGAACAGCAGGGAAACTGCATAACGGAACAGCCGAGGGGCTGTGGAGAGGTCGTCGGACGGGACGCGGCCCTGAGCGAGGACGCCGTGGTACGAGATTTTACGAACCCAATAAAGGACAACGGAGATCGACATCTGAGAGAAAGGTCCTTTATTACATATTTATACTTTATATATATATATATTTTACTTAAATCTATTTAATTATAAAACCTTAATATTGTACATTCACTCTCTCTCTCTCTCATACGATACGTATTATGGTGTTTTACACTCACCAATGACAGTAGTATCTTGAGACTTGACTCCAGTAATGACGACGACGACGATGACAACGATGATGTGCAGCCAATCAGCTCACGGGATACATCCACTCGTTCTCTCATTCGTCGATCTCGCGCCGGGAACCAATCACGTGCCTTGTCTGAGTGCCCGTGGGTATGTACAAAGCCTCTGAGAAAAATCCGCGATGCACTGAGGCCGCAAAACTTGAACCGCGAAGTGGCGAGGGATTATTGTATCTCGGTTGTGTGTAATTTACCTATTTTGCCTTGTATCTCTTTTGACTTACCCTAGGTCTAATACTTCATGATTATTATTTGGTTTATGTTTAACCAAGATTCGTGATCTACCATAGTTTTTACCACATGTATTCCGAGGGTTTTATTAACCTTTGTTCCCTGTATGTATCCAGTGATCCGTGCTTTTTATTCTCGAGTTATATTTTGATATCCTGAGGTTGGAGATGTAACTAAGTTTTCACTTAAGCTTTCTTGACTGCCGGAATTCATATTCCTTGGTTCTTTTGGTAAAGTCACATAGATAGAAAGATACAATAAGAAACAATATATGAGGTGAATAAGGGTGAAATAAAATAAGTAATAATAAAAGCCACTAATGTAGACTGCAGTCGATAATGTCGATTGATTCTTGTCGCTAAGTTTCGAACTTTTACCGTTAAAGAAAACGCCATTTGTAATGTCCGTTTGCCCTGTGAACTGTCCAAAACGTCCGTGGAGGTCTATCATATGGTCGTTTGGCAATCTGGACATTTCCCAGATCGTCATTAACCCCCCTTTGCCCCAGAGTGTATTATTTAATGGCGCTTTATGACCTCCTCCCTCCAGTTGCTTTAATATGGCAAGGCAGCTGGGTGTGAGGGGTGGGGTGTACCTCACCCTTTCATGCCCCATGCTGACCCCGATGGATTATTAAAAAGAAATTGGCAGAATTATTCTTAATATGATTTTTTGGAAAAATACCCATATATACAACAAGGTTTCACGACACATTCATATTTACGCGATCTAACCAAAAAAACAACTCAATTATCGACATAAATATAAGCAGACAATTCGACTCTCTTCTCTGCATCGAAACTGGTCCAGAGTTTTTGCTTAATGTTGAACGCCGCTAAAACGATGCACTTCAAGAAGGAGGCCGGGTGACTGATGGGGATGTGTAAAAACGAGTGCACATTGTGCGTGGCAGGCACAGATGCATGATGGAGACGTAGCGCCCATCTAATTAATCTTGCGCGTCAACAGCATTACCGCAGCAGGGCGTTGGCTCACCTGATGAGCTCCCATGAAGTCAAACGCACGCACACACACACACGCACGCCTTGCGTGCCGATGATTCCTAAAGGGCTTCTCTTTGGGAATCATCGACCTATGGGGAGGCCTGTCGAGCGTGCACACTCACAGATATGACGGAATTTTCCAGCATGCGCAGTGCAGCTCAGGTGCCTGCGTGACCACGGTATTGGGTGCTGCGTGACCACGGTATTGGGTGCCTGCGTGACCACGGTATCGGATGTGCGACGCCATTGATGGCTTGCGTCGAGTGCCGCGCACCGCGTTGTAGTCCCTGTGCTAAACCCTCGTGCCCGTCCCTCCGATAGAAACGATAACCCGAGAGAAGGAGGAGAGTCAGCAGCTGCGCAGGGAGAGGCAGGAGTGCCACGTGTCTCTGCAAGATGCACAGGTACGGCTCGCGGCACGCACGCACGCATCCCACCATCCTCAAGCACTCTAAAACTCCTGGCTCATCACCACAACCACTGCGTGCGTCCGTGCACACTGACCGCTGCCTCATTCTTGTGTACAGGTGGTACAGGTGTATGTAGCACGTTACCTGACCATGGTGCTGCGTTGGCAGTGGTGCACAAAGCAGAGTTAACAATGACAACTCAACGCGTTTTGGGCAATAACTCCGTAGCCTTGCACAACAATATATGAACATGAGGGGTGACATTTCGGGCCATGGTCCTTCTTCAACGCATGTGCTTAGAGAGGCAAGAGGACAGTGGATGATACGAATTGGAGACTGCACGAGGTCACACCATGGGGGCATGATTAGAATGATGTAATGCCGTGTTTTCTGAACATGTTAAGAATACGCGTGTTCAGTGCAACTTTACATGCCTGCCGGACTTGGACGTGAACAAAAGGCCGACAGAGATAAGATATTGGCACTCCAAATGTATCGCTACATAAGGATTACCGCTGCATCTAAGCTGGAGCCAAAGAGTGGCCAACCTAGAAGTAAGAAAAAGGTCGCACACAGAAGCAGACGGCCTGCTGATGAGACAGGCAGTGATGAGAAGGAAACTGGCACTATTTGGACACATATGTAGGATGGACAATGGCAGGAAAAATTGGAAGGAACCGGACAGAGAGAAAGACCTAATAGAGAAAGGCTTTACGATGACATCAGAGATTGGTGCCTGAGAGATATTGCCACTACTGTGGAGACACTGAGAGAGGGGGAGGACAGACGTCTCACTCGAGGGAACAGCCGTGCAATTCATCTTCTTGGTTCTTTCGGTAAAGTCACGTAGAATTGAATAAAATAATAAAAATAAAACATAATAAAATAATTCTCACGACGTTTCGGCCACAACGCAAGTAGCCCGTTCTCAGGTGGAGAACAGGTCTGTCGAGGAGACAGAGTATTATTTCAATTCTACGTGACTTTACCGAAAGAACCAAGAAGATGAATCCCTGCAGTCACGAAAGCTTTAAATCGAAATTTAGCCGTGCAATTGTTTTCCGGTAAGGAATTAAGTGTTTTTTAAAAATATTCTTAGGTTTTTTCGGTAAAGTCACGTAGGTAAAACATTAAAATTAATGAAAGTAAAATAAAATAAAAATCACGACGTTTCGGAGGCAACACAAGTCTCCGTCATCAGGTGGGACCGTCACAGCCAGATTTGCTGCATCAAGTGAGGCAATGATTCAAGATGTAATCCCTTAAAAGCAAGTTGAGGGGGGAGGAGAGGGGGGAGAGCTCATCAGAATGTGGTAGCCAATGAATGGAACGTATCGGGAGGGAGGGGGGCGGGGCTTTGGCTGTGACGGTCCCACCTGATGACGGAGACTTGTGTTGCCTCCGAAACGTCGTGATTTTTTATTTTATTTTACTTTCATTAATTTTAATGTTTTACCTACGTGACTTTACCGAAAAAACCTAAGAATATGAATCCTTGCAGCCACGAAAGCTTCAAATCTGTTTTTTTAAAGTGTAGTGTTCAGCATTTCGATTTATTTGGCAACTGCTGCTTACGGCCAACACCAGTAACGATTATCTGAACTGGTCCTGGGCCTCCCCTAGGCCGACTCAGCCTTAAATTAGTAGCTGGTGTGGTGTGTAAACATCACTACTAGGGAGACAAAGGCGGCGTGGTTCTGGCCACCCACCCCCTCGTGTGCCGTGCCGTCCTTCGTAGGTACGACTTGCTAACAGGACTTGCCCCAAGAGTCTGTCAAGGCTACACGGGGGGAGATATTTGTCTTTGTGTGTTCGTGGCGTTGTAGTGATGCAGAGGCGCGCGTGTTTCCGCAGGTACGTCTGGAGGCGTGCGAGCTGTCGCGGGGCAAGCGAGCGGCACGCGACGGCGCCGCCGAGTTAGAACAGAATGAGACGAATGCAGTGCGACACACACAGCGGCACGTGCAGGTGCCCGCCGTGAGCCCCGCCACTCGCGCGCACCCAGCCACATGGGGCTTGCTTACGTGGGAGTCTCTGCACGCTTGCTACCTCATACCAAATTGTGAAAACTGAAGTTGAGTTTTTTAAAGGCGTGTCATTAAGTGCCACACGTCTTGTCTAGTCCAGTACCCCCTCCTTCGGTATTTGAAGAGACTGCATTGTAGTCTACGTGATGCTTCATAACTCACGCCGATGTCACCTTGCTCCAGGTGAGTAAGCCTGGATCTGCGAATACAATTCACGTGACCCACAAAGGCTAGTTTCTTGAGATCTGCGGTGATCCATCTAAACTAAATTATTTTTATTTTACCAGTGAAGGCCCACTGAGCTATATAGCTCTTTTTCAGAAGTAACCAAGCCACAAATGATCACCCAACGAAGTGGCTTATCATCGTGTGAAAATTTACAGCAACCAAATACTCTAAACGCGTGACGTTGATTGTAAATGTGGAATGAAAAAACGGAGTACCCAGAGAAAAATCCACGCGACTACAGGGAGACATGCAAACTCCAAAGATACACCTGGCATCAGGCATGGGATCGAACCCACATCCTCCTGTATACTAGGCGAGGTAGTTAACATTTTTACTGTACCGGCTTCTCCTGCCGAGAGAGGGCATGGCTCCTCCTCGACACACCATCTGTGCATGATCCACCAACCCTCGCTGCTGCTTCCACAGTGTTGGATGACAGACTGCCACGTTCATCATCACCACTCATTGCCTGATCAAATCTGTTATCTGCTAACGCTGCGGTGTATCGGTGCTCCTCCGGCGTTATAACTTCACACGGATTGTTCGAGCGCAAGACATATGCGACCCTGCGCGTATCCCAATTGCAGGTATTGATCGCAATCAATGGGTCGATTCATCATCCCACCCGATGTACAGGCCAGAGCGAGTTAGACCGCAATACCGAAGTTATCGGGTTTGTCCCCCAGATGGAGACGTTCGGTTTTGAGAAGGGAGCTGGTGCGTCTACCGGTCATCTCAGTCAGCCAACCCATGGCACCTGGGTCTGTCCAGAGATTTCTGCCAGCGAACCTTCGATTTTTTACGTGGCCTCAAAGTGCACCTGGCCTGGCACATGGCGCATATTGGTTTTGGTGTCATTACGCAGGTGTGGGCGTGTGCATGCATGTGCGCGTATCACACACCGCCACTTGGTGGCAAACGGCGGCTGTTGTTGTTGTAGTTGTTGCGTGATCCAGTGCTGGTGCCAGTTGTTATCGTGACTTCTCAAACTAGCACATGCTCACGAGTGTGTGTGTCTGTGTGTAACGCAGGGGAAGTGTTAGCCACGCTACCATTCGAACCCGGTGACGCAAGTTTGATTCCCGCTCACGGCCAACACTAGTGACAATTATTTGAACCGGTCCTGGCCCTCCCCTAGGTCGACTCAGCTTTAAATTAGTACCCCGTGCAGTATGTAAACATCAGCACTGGGGAGACAAAGGCGGCCGGGCATGGTGTTGCCCACCCACCCCCTCATGTCCCGGCCTTCGTAGCTGCTCGATAACAGCACTTGCCCCGGCAGTCTGTTAAGGTTATGCGGGGGATCTTTGTATTTGTTGTGCCACACAGCAAGCCCACGACATGCTGTCCCTCCAGCATGATCAGATCAAGGAAGTCCTCAAGGATCATCAGAATCAACTGAAATCTGCAAAGGTTCGTTACCGCCCCTTGTCGTGTGTGTGACATCATCGGGCGTCGCTGCTGCTGCGAATAATTGTTGTCAAACTTTGATGTACGTCACATCATGGGAAATCTGATGATCCCCACAGCATCAAGAATACAACATTCCACGTGGTCAGACCGGCACATTGTCCGTAGGCCTGCGTGCATTCACACGACGGCATTCCCTCGTTATTTGTGGCGAGGGAGACGCTCCGGAGATGCTCGTGAATAGCACATTTGGCGCATGATTTTGGCTTACAAAACTCTATCCTATATCTCATAACTTTGTCATCACTTTCTCGTATCTAATTCTCTCTCATCACTTTATCTCATCACTCTTTTTTTCTCTCTCTCTCGACGCAGCGGTCATGTTGAGTTCCAGATGCGATTCGTGGACAGCCAAAATCTTAGAGAGCAAGTTTGTGAATAGCGAGGGAATACTGTACCCATGTTCATTGTATTATCTGTGTGAAAAATTATTGTATGCCAGCCTTTGCTGCTCTGCAACTGTCATTGGGAGACAGGTAAAACTCGTGCCTCACAGTAAGAAGGAGTCTGGGTTCAATCCCCAAATCAGGCGCTTTTCTGCATGGAGTTTGTATGTCTCGTCTTTTATGTTCTGCATGCGTCTTCAGGTTTTCCAGCTTTCTCCCAGAGCTTAAAACGAAATACACTTCAGACATCCAAATGTTAAAGTATTGCCTGCTAACGACTCAACTGGGATGAGGCATCGTAACATAACCCCCCGACTGTGAACTACTTTGACGGGACCCTATAATGAGTCTTGAGACTCGGTGAGACTTTGTTTTGGTAAAAAAGCACGAATAAATAAATAAATAATATACAATTATGCACCAACTGTTGCAGTTAAACATGAACAGTACACAGCTGGACAACGCCACGAAGAAGACGCATGTTCACACGGGGTTGCGTTAACTGGGAACATTTAGCGGAGGGTCGTTTGGAGCTTAACAGGCCATCGGGCAAGTGTTGTTAGCGAGCACCTATGAAGGTCGGCACAGCACACGAGGGGGTGGGTGAACAGCACCACGCCCGGCCGCCTCTGTCTCCCCAGTGCTGATGTTTACACACTGCACCGGGTGCTAATTAAAGGCTGAGTCGACCTAAGGGGAGGCCCATGACGGGTTCATATAATCGTCAATGGTGTTGCTGGCCCTGAATTGGAATCTAACTCGGGTGGGCGGGGTTTGTAGTGCAGTGCAACCACTCCTCACACATTAACGCACGACGACCAAATACACTCACTTAATATTCACCCATTCATAACAACAATAATCGCCATTCGCCACTAAGTGGCGGTGACGTCACCTCGGTGCTTGTGCCAGGCTAAGTGCACGTGAAGTGTCGAACACCCGCTGGCAGGTCACGGGACAGACCCAGGTGCCATAGGTTGACAGACTGTGTGGATGTGAATGGCACCAATTTATATCCACACGTGTACACACGTGCACTGGGTTTCTTTCCAAGTGGTCAAGCTTGCCCCGTGCGGTCACGTGGCGACGCCTCGCTGCCTCGTTACATGTGGTACAGGAGCAGATGGACTCATGTGTTGCGTCCCAGCTTGTGTTTGGTGCCAGGCATAAACCCTGTGGGTGCAGATGCAAGTCTCTGGCTGTGAGGTGTCGGCGTCACGGGCTCCTTGCTATCGCACCGTGCGTGAGCATCGGGCTTTTAGCTCGACGCCCGTAATGCGATCCATCACCTGAAACAACTAAATGACGACAATTGCTGACAGCAGACTTCACACGGGTGGGTGGGGTTACAAAAGTCTCTGGTTCAAAAGCCACGGCCGAAAGATGTTCGCCCACTGCATTTAATTTTGCGGTAAAGGACACTGGTTTTGTTCGCTTTTGGGATTGTTGAATGATTTGTGGTGTGTAAGCAATGTGAGCATTACAACAACATCTTGACACGTGATTGATGTTCGGGCCAGATCCGCGCAAGCCAACATGTTGTGCCATGAAACCCTCCCCTGTCTGACATGGCCAGCAAATGAGTATTTTTTTTTCGTCACATGAAGTTGTATTCGATTTGAAAAAAACAATCGAATACAAACATATGCTTATGGTGCTGAAGCAGCACAAGCATATCTTTGTATTCGATTGTTGAAGCAGCACCACATTGGCACGATTGTTCACATGACAAATTCATGAACTGGCTGCGTCAGGTAGGTGGAGTGTGTACGACACATTCTACTGATAAAAACAACAAGAGATTGTATCTTTTATGGCAATAAAACAGGAGCAGTGATAATATGTTCAAACACCAAATAGATACACTTTTCATAGGCATCAAGTCTGTATTAACCACACGTACTTGTCGCAAACCATGCGTCGATACTGATCGAAAGGGTATCCCGATAGACACAACTACTCGACCCGAGCTACGTGTATTGATACTTGCATTGTCTTTGTACTGTTCGCCTTTTGCAATTTTCTGTTCTGACACTGGTGAGACAAGGCTATAAAGAAGGCTGCTGTCTCTGGTGTGTAGGCCAATCCGTTTAAAAGGCAATGTATATCTTATCAGAGCAGGTTTGTTTGCATGTTTTGTCACAAGTATGTGTGCTTAATGCAAACTTGATGCCTTGATTAAGTTTTCTATTTGGTGTTTGAACATCTCCATACCTGTTTTATTGCCAGAAATGGTGAAACCTATTCTTATTTTTAATCATTTTGGATACTGGCAAAAGGTCCCATAGAGGCATATTCTACTTACGTGATTTGACCCAAAAATCAATCACCTGGAGCCTGCGTGTTGTATGTACGTTGAACTTATAGCCAGGCGTGCTAATCGGAGGTGCGAGGTGTTAAATAGTGGAACTTGGTTTTTATATTTGCTTAGCCATACTGTTGGTAGCAGTGCATCCTCGAGGAGGTCATGGGCCTCCTCGAGGCTGACTCAGCCTCAAACGAGTAACTGGCACGGTGTGTAAACATCACCACTGGGGAGACAAAGGGGGCCGGACGTGGTGTTGGCTACCCACCACCTCGTGTACCGTGCCGGCCCTCATATATTTTCGCTAACAGCACTTGCCCCAACAGTCTGTTCAGCTTCTTGGTTCTTTCAGTAAAGTCACGTAGACGGGAAGTAATAAAATAATCAAAATAAAACATAATAAAATTCTCACCACGTTTCGGCCACAACGCAAGCTGCCGTCCTCAGGTGAAGAACAGGTCTGTCGGAAAGACAGACCTGTTCATTCAGACGCTGTCTTTTTCATTCAGACGCTGTCTTTTTGACAGACCTGTTCTTCACCTGAGGACGGCTGCTTGCGTTGTGGCCGAAACGTCGTGAGAATTGTATTTTATTATGTTTTATTTTTATTATTTTATTACTTCCCTTCTACGTGACTTTACCGAAAGAACCAAGAAGATGAGGTCAAGGTGTTTATTTTGTTCTTGTTTTGTCTGTTCAGGTTACACGGGGTGGGGGGGGGGGGGGTCTTTGTGTTTGCGCGTGCGTATGCATTTGGGAAGTGGTGATACAGTAGTTGGAACTCGGCCTTAATCCGAGAATATACCCGGTGCAGTTCTTATTTATCGTGCTGGTGCAGCACTATATATAGTAGAAGCCCTTTTAACGACGGTAATTGGTGAAGTGATTTGGTCGTTAAGCCAGTGTAGTGAGTTCAACTGAGTCACAGACGTACTCTTTGGAGGCAACACATTTATTAATACCAACACAAAGGGGTAACTGCCTCTTAACCAGATAACAAGCTATGGTGCTGGACCACCAGGCTAACTAGACTAATTACACCATGACTAGCTACAACAGACCGGACCACAGCTCGGGTCCAGGTCCACGTGTTGGAGAGTTTGTAGGATGTAGAACGGAGAACGTAGGTTTCTTCAGGATGAACAACAGCAGCCAGTCCCTCTCGGGGACCCGGCTTATATCCTCTGTGGCGTGGCTGGCTCCGCCCTTAGCCACGACCACCTTCTAGAATCCTCGAGCAGGATCTCAACCCTGACATGTGACCACCCCTAGCCCCCACCTTGGGGGCCCTGTGTAGTCTATACCGGTCACGTGTCCTTTGGGGTCAATCAGAGTACCATGGCCCTTAGTAACCCCATGTCCGACACTCTCACACCATATCCTGCAGGGGTCGGCACTGCACGCAGAGCGTGGTGCCATCCAGCACTGCCAGTCAGTACTCTCCGAGCCCCTCTAGGGCCAGTACTGCACCCACATATATGTGGTGCCCGCGACGTCAATGCATCGCACGCCGTGCCTCTCTTGGGCCGGCATTACACAGTGACATCCGCGATGTCACTACACCAGCATAGGCAATACACGTTAAAGGCTTAATTCGTTCCGATACCATTGAAAGTTACTAATTTTCACCCAAAACACGTACTTTATAATATTTAAACAATGGATATTAATGCATAAAGATACTAACAATATTATGAAGACACAATATTAGAAGAAACATAGTTAATCAATGCATTTGTAGTGGTTTCCACGGAGGCACACACTTGAACTTCAAGGCAACACGTTTATTACTACACCCCAACAGAGTACTACTTAACACATACTGGATAACGACATAGGTGGTAACTACCACGATTAATGCAAACCCCAACGTAATAACTAATCATCTGAGTCAGGTCAGTAACGTACTGCATGACTCACGATGCCGAACGTGACGACCGAAGAGCGAGGAGACGTAACACCGCGGGTTGCTTCCTGAAGACAGCCCGGATTGGCACTCAGGAATTCCCTTTTATGCCCCTGAGCGCGGCCTGGCTCCACCCTCGGCTACGCCCCCTTCTAGATCCTACGAGAAGGTTCTGGGCCTTGTGTCACGTGTCCCTCTCACCACCCCTTGCCCCCCCTTGCTACCCTCTCCTGGTCACGTGCCCTCTTGGGTTCACCCAGACTGTCATGTCCTGAAGTGCCCTCTCTCTGGCCGTCACCAGAAGCATGCCCCCTAGGGCCCCTTCTATGCCATACACACTGGTGCCAGAGAGAGACGCTAATATGCACAGTACCACTCTTACTCCTTGGTACTTTCGGTAAAGTCACGTAGATAGAAAATAAATGAAATAATAGAATACGACGCGTTTCGATTGCAACACAAGCAATCGTCATCATGCAATAATGAATGAGAAAACAAACCTAGTAATCTTGGAAATATAATGCAATACAACACAGAGTCTGCTAACACAACAGTCAACACCCTACCTGGTTGAGTACGTTTTTCCAAAGATTGCTAAATCTGAGAGAGAGACAAAACACAGACACGGAGACACATAGACAGACACACAAGCAGAGAGACACACAGACACAGAGAGAGACACACATAGACACAGAGAAACAACGCCTTTGTATCGAGGCCTTAAATAGAGAGGGGGGGGGGGCAGAGAGGCCCGTCGTTAAGCGATTAGTCGTTATACTCTACACTAATATACCCTACACTATATACTACACTATACACGACACTACTATATTCTAAACTATACACAACACATTGGGATCTATGGAGGCCCGTTGTTAAGTGATTAGTCTGAACAGGGGTGGTCGTTAAGAAGGGTTCTACTCTACCTAGTGCAGCACTTATCTACAGTGTTGGTGCAGCACTATTTTTAAATACAGACAAGTATGTGGGGCCGTAATAGGCACTCTTTAACAACACTCGCCCTCACGGTCTATGAAGCTACAATGCGTGGGATATGTGTGTTGGTGTGCATGCGTAGGTCTTGATTGAAGAGTACAAGCGACTCAAACAAGGGCTCAGGTTCATGCCTCCGTCACACACCGGCCAGGCACAGGTGACGGATCCTGCACGCACGGTACAGTATGGGCACCACATTCTGTCTCCACATTGTCACCGCATTCTGTCGTCATTATCCGGTTCGCAATTGAAACGTTGAGAGTTCACATCCTGGTTGGGGGTGGGGGGGGAGTTGATTCAGTCCATCATCCTTCCGCGGTCGAAAAATCGACTCGCACCTCCGATTAGCACTGTTGGTTACGTAGACTCATCCCCACCATACAAATGTGGAATTTCCACCACTGGCTCTATAGGGCTGTAAATGGGAGATTACAATTGGATGCTTCAATGCTGCTCGTTTAAGAGCAGCAGGGAATGTCTTTGACTCTTTGTTTTGTTCCATTCTAAATCTGAGTCTCCGCTTCTTGCACAGAGCAATGGATTTGCCCTCGCATAAAGTTCTGCTCTCAGTATCTCTCACATGAAGCCACGATTGTTGTTGTAACGTGCGGCTGCTCTGCCATCCCATTCCACAGCTCAAGAAGGACAGCCTGCCCGCTCGCTTTGCAGTTGTCAAACAGTCCGAGGTGCGAACAAGCTGGGGAGGGGGGGTGTTGCGTATCACGATTCCACGCTTGAGGCATTTTCTTTCTGTGCACACATTGAGGAAAATGATCTGCCAACTTGTGGCCAGACAGCTGCTTGCAAGAGAAAGACACGGAGACGCGGGCAGTCGCACGACACTCCGCGTTATGACTGAGGGAATGGAGGCTGAGCTGAGCCAGTCGTAGTGTTTACAGTGGTACCAAGGTGGCTACCTCGCCTGGTACACAGGAGGTCGTGGGGTTGTTCCCGACCCTGACGCCATGTTTGGCGTAAAAATAAATCCGAAACCGTGATGACTATCCAAAGAGCCTGATTTGCACACATACACACAAACGCAGACTACACCCACTGTACAGGCCTTTGTTTTCACGTTAACTCTCCTACTGCCCTATTGCAGTAGGTGTCATTACACAGTCACATTCGTTCCGCTGCTCGACCTGTGGTGAGATGTTAACTCCCTCGCCTGGTATGCAGGAGGTCGTGGGTTCGATCCCGAGCCTGACGATGCCTGTTGTATATTTGCAGTTTGCATGTACTCCCCGTCGTCTTGTGGAGTTTTCTCCAGGTCCTGCGGTTTTTCCCACGACATTTAGAAACAATATCACGCATTTAGAGTATTTGGCTGCTATACATTTATACGTGGTGATGATGATAAGCCACTTCGTTGAACAATAATTGTGATAGCCAGGTCGCTTCTGAAAACGAGCTCAGTGGGGATTTACCTGGTAATATAAAAAAAATATAGTTTAGGTTATCTTGGAGGGAGGGAGAGAGCGGAGGTCCTTTAGCCCAGGATGCTAACTTTCTCAGTGTTTTCAACTCCTCGTATCACTGAGTGGCGGCTCTCACCCCAACACAGTTACTCCTGGAGCCTGGCTTGAGAATCAATCAGCCGTGGTGACGAACACCCGCCCACCATACCCCGTTTGCCGGTGAGATAGACGCGTCCCCCCGCCTGCGTTTGTTTGGCTCGCGGCAGTTTCTCATGGTGACGGCGGCGATTGTGTTTCAGATGGATCGCGATCGCGAGGGCGAGAGCAACAACGCCCAACCAGAGGACGGTGTGAGTGCACACTTCACACGCGAAGGCTGTCAACTCTACACTGCTTAATTTCAACTCTCCTCTCCCGTCTCGACCCCACGTATATCGTTAGCGTGATCACGAGTGCTTGCATTAATCGGTCGTTTCATCCCATTCCGCCTTCACAGGGAAACAATGACAACGATGATGATGACGACGATGACGGCAACGACGACCTGGAGGCAAGACCATACGTGGTCCACACATGATGTGCACGCCACCACCGTGGACAAGGAGACGTCACCTGACCCGACGTCACCCCCCACCCCCGTCCCATCTGTGGAACCCATGGGCGGTGGAAGAGGCATCGGCTTGGCGCGTCAGGCATGCGACGGGTAGTTACATGCGGGGTGCGGCTCGGTAATCGGGCCTAAGAGTAAACAGCGGTCGGCTAGACGCGGGACCAGGTGCATGCCAGATCGGACGATTGCAGGAGGGCAGGTCTATGTGTTTGTCTTGCCTCACGGCAGATGTGGAGCGTACGTTCACAGGAAGTTCCTGTTTTTTTATGCTAATTTTGGTCACGTGACCAGGAAGTGACGATGTTAGATTTTCAGTGAACCATGTGGGCTTCTGCCATCTTACTGATAATTCAAGATGGCGGCACGCATCGCATCTCAGTGAGACCACAGCCGCACTTGTCCATTGTGGGAGCTTAAGAAGCATTGTCTGTAAGTTGTTTATATTCCTATAATATTGGCAATGTTGTTGTAATTGTAATAACAGCCATAGAGGGTTCACGTGGGGATTGGCTTGCCGGTCCTGCTTTGTAGCCAATAAGGGTTGAGATAGGGAGCATGGCCCCGGCGTGATCACGGCATGTCATCAGGAGTGATTGGCCTAGCCATTCGGGGCCCCAGCTAATGGGGAGCCGGATGAGAGGCGTGGTCCCGGGATTGACAGGGAACCATCGAGAATGGTCAAGGTTGTCCATGGAGGATTGGCTGGGGGGACCACGTGACGAAGGGATTAAGAGAGAGTGAGAGAGAACGATCGGGAGCAGACTGGGGAACGAGCAGAGTGAGAGCCACGCGCGTACTGGGGCTCGGGGTGCCACGTGCGCGGTGGGAACTGGTGTGAAGTCTGCCCGCTCTCTGTTGTCTGCCAGCAACAGAGAGTGTGTGAGTAAAGTGTATTGTGGAAGTGAAAATAAAGAGGACCACTTCCGAAGCCGTCTCAGAAGGATTATTACACTGGTGTCAGAAGTGCTTCTGCGACTGTTTGGACGATCGTCAAGATGTCCAAGCACCCCAGAAAAAAGAACCTGCCCGTGCCTCTATCGGAGGAAGAGGTCGAGACGGATGAAGATGAGCTGTTGGGAGCTACAGCCCCTATGCCGCCTGCTGATAATATTCTCCTCGACGCCTCTCAGCGTCGACCGGGGGAAGATGCGACCACCGCAGGAACAAAAGACGAGTGGCGGCTGATGGCGGAGCAGATTGAGTCATTACGCGCCATTCTGCTTAGCCTGGTGACCGCGGTGGCATCCTCACCAGCCACGGGTCGCCAGATCGCCGATCAGCTGGACGCCGCGGGAAGGGGTCCTGCAAAGGAATCTGCGTCCGCCATTACTCCTGCCACACGGGAGGACGCCATCATTTTGGGTGGGGCGGCTGCGCCGGAGCCGTCGGGCGCCATTTTGGGCGCGCCTACCGCCACGCGGCCGCCGGACGCCATTTTGCCTGCAACGGGTGGAGAGCGGGAACGGCAGTCGGAGACGCCCGCGGCGCGCGCTTGCCACCGCGGACATCGCCTTCCACAAATTAAAGAATTTATCGCCGGGAGGCGATTGGAGTGCTTTTATGTGGCGCTTCGAGTCAGCTTTTAGATCCATCAACTGGACGGAGGATGAAGCGCTGGGAGCGCTACCTACACTGCTTGATGATGTTTCTCTGGGGGTCTTCCGCTCCATCCTGGCGTCCAAGAAGAAGACACTGCGGGACGCGTTCGCAGAGATGGCAGAATTTAATGACCCACCGACGTCAGCCACCAGGAAATTTATGTCGCGTCGCCGAGCATCGGAGGAATCGCCGTTGGCTGCCTACCCCGACACGATGGCCGACCATTTGGATCCTCTCATCCTTTCCCGTATGCTGGAGTTGGCTCAGGAGCTCAACATTTCGCTACCGGTGTGCGGCCACGAACCGCTTACATCAGGATGGGTGGCGCGCTGCCTGGACGCTAAATTTAATATTAAGCGTTGGGACCAGATGGCGGCATGGACGGGGAAACCCGAAATCGACGGGCCGCCTTTGGGGTGGTCTCCACGACTGGTGGTCCACTGCTCCGACGACTCGGGCGACGACGACATGCTGGCTGCTGCTGTTCCGCATAGGATTCCGGGACGGCGGCTGCGCGACCAGCGTGGCGACTACACGGGCCGTCCACGCGCAAGGGCCGGGTCGTCCGACCGCCGGCCGACATCGGCCGCGTGCTTCAAGTGTGGCAGACGGGGCCATTTCGCCCGTGACTGCCGCTGCCGACCTCTGCTGTCGCCTCTTCTGCCAAGGGGACCTCCATCTCCTCCACCTGCTGCGGAGCTGCAACAACCTCGGGCGAGTCGGCACAAATCGGACACCTGGCAGGTCTTGTCACATCACTCATCCACTCGCACTCATTCTTACACTCCTAAGGATAATTATACTTCTCCTGCTCCATTTACGCGCTCTGCTACACAGTGGAAAAAATTGGCTCGCAGGGTTGTGGCTGCGGCGTCGGGCTCGTCGACGGTACGGGGTACCATCGACGGCGTTGACGTCCGTATCTTGGTGGACACGGGCGCGTCTGCTCATTTCAGATGTTATTTTCCATTTGTTGTCTATTCCTACGTCGCGGATACGCAGGGTTAATGATGCATGTGTCGCCGCAAATGGGGGAAGCATGGGTATCTGTGGTCAGGTAGATGTGAGCATCGCTATCAGAAATATTACCGCCGCAGGACCTGTGTTAATCTCTCGCTCGCTAGCTGTTCCATGCTTACTCAGTACTGATTTCCTGCGCCGGATGCCGCTGAGAATACGGGTCGACCAGGACTGTTTGGAAATGCCGGGGGGTCGTAGAATGGCGTTCCTGCCTTCCCTGTTGGCCAACGCGCCTACAGGTAACGCAGTTACTGCCGTAGTTGCTGCTACGGTGGAGGTTCCATCGGGAGCGCAAATGCTAATTCCGCTGCGTTATCGAAAACCCCTTCAAATGGGAAGGGATGCGAAGGGCGTGCTGTTATCCCCATCGAATTCGGTATCTAAATCTTTTTCTTTGGTGGCAGCACAAACGATCGTGCAACCAGGTCAAGCACCTTTCATACAGGTGTTAAATGGGGGACCTGACCGTGTTGTTGTTCCGGAGGGATCGGTGCTGGCTCACGCCACTACCGATTTCGCCTCTTGTGACAAAACGCCGCGCGCTCGGATGCCCGTGGGTGGGCCTCCGCACGATCGTTCACAAGAACGCTGGATCGCAGATTTATGCGGAGAGAATTCTTCCTTGTCGAATGAACAAAGGAACGCCCTGCTTTCACTATTGCTACGGTACGCTGATGTTTTCAGCAGAAATGATTTGGACCTCGGCCGCACGTCGCTTTTGTCGTACCATATTGACACCGGTGCGGCACCTCCCATTTGTATGCACCCTCATCGCATGAGCCCGGCGGAAAGGGAACACGTGCGCGGAGCGGTAGATGAATTGCTGGCGGCGGATATTATTTCGCCATCCAACAGCCCTTAGGGCGCGCCCGTCGTTCTGGTTAAGAAAAAGGATGGTGGTACGAGGTTTTGCGTTGATTTCCGCCGGTTGAACAAAATTTCAGTGGCGGATGCGTACCCCTTACCGAGGATGGATGATTCATTGGATGCTTTATCGGGTGCTAAATTCTTTTCCACCCTTGACCTGTCCTCGGGCTTCTGGCAGCTTCCCCTCGACGATGAGTCGAAGATAATTGGTTCTTTACCCTTCTATCTGGCAACAAAACTGACACCTTTTTTTGTTGCCAGATAGAAGGGTAAAGAACCAATTATCATATTTTTACTGGCAAATGAGGTCCCCATAGTGGGGATGAGTCGAAGGCCAAAACGACATTCCGCACGCCGCAAGGTCTCTTTGAATTTAATCGGTTGCCTATGGGCTTGAATGCGGCGCCGGTGACGTTTCAGCGGCTCATGGAATTGGTGTTGGCTGGACTACAGTGGGAAACGTGCCTCATATATCTCGACGATATAATTGTCTTCAGCCGCACGTTCGAGGAACACCTCCAATGCCTAGAGACGGTTTTTCAAAGAATGCGCGCGGCTGACCTTAAGTTTAAACCTAAAAAATGCCACCTTCTGCAACACTCCGTCTGTTACTTGGGTCATATTGTCAGTTCAGACGGCGTGTCCACTGACCCTCTGAAAACCAAATGTGTATGAGAGTGGCCTACACCCACTTCAGTGGGTGATGTTCGGCGGTTTATTGGGTTCGCTTCCTATTATCGCCGCTTCGTTAAGAACTTTGCGACGTTGGCAAAACCATTACACGTTCTGACTGGCAAAAATCAAAGGTTTAAATGGGGAGCGGAGGAGGAAAGTTCTTTTGTGGCACTTCAGGACCACCTCGCCACGGCGCCTACGCTAGATTACCCAGACTTCTCATAGCCGTTCATCCTTGATACGGATGCTAGTGATATCGGCATTGGGGCCGTTTTGTCGCAACGTAAGGACGGGGTTGAGCGAGTGGTGGCGTACGGCAGCAGGGTTCTATCCCCTGTGGAAATGCGCTATTGCGTGACAAGACGAGAACTTTTGGCAATTGTCCACTTTGTTCGATTGTACTGGCCGTACCTGTATGGACGGAAGTTCCTAGTTCGCACTGATCATGCGGCTTTGCAATACTCCTTGAAATTGGATCAACCATCAGGCCAATTGGCTCGGTGGTTGGAATCGTTACAGGAATTTTCCTTCGATATTACATACCGAAAGGGGGCCCGTCACGCAAACGCTGACGCGCTCTCAAGGCTGCCGCCCCTTCCTCCGTGCACTTGCCTGACAGGCACGCACCGCTGTGCGGCACCGCCCACCTCGCCCTGTCCGGTTATGGGGGCAATAGCGAATGAGGACGACACAGGGGCGAAAGCGGAGGAGGACGACCAGCAGGTGTCGGTGGACACCGATGATACCTTATGGCTGCCGCACGCGGTCTGGTAACGTGA